GATGTACTAAAGCTTATCTTTCCATTCACCTGTGGATGCACATTTAGGCTGGTTCTAGTTTTTGGCTATTCTGAACAAAGCTGCTGTGAACATCCATGTCAACATACAAGCCACCACCTAGAACGTAAAGGTGCTCAGTTAACGCCAAAAGCACTTGTGTTCTCTTCACAAGAGGTGTGCATGGCCTCCCGGTAAAAAGCAGCTGTGAGGCAGCGCGGTCTTCCCTTGAGGGATCCGTGCTCGTCCTGTGAGTAGGGCAGAACTCCAGCCTTCCTCCCACGGTGATGGTGATGTGCTTGCCCTGCATCACTCAGTCAGGGACAACCTTGGGGCCCTGGCCAGGCCCTCTCAGCAACAGGGGTCACCGAGTGGTTGGAAGACAGCCGTCTGAGGAGACAGCCCACACAGCTGACCCTCCGAGCACCAGCCTGAGCAGGCACACGCCAGTCCAGCTGCACCCCCACCAGGCCAGGGTCTGAGGGAGGCTGACCAGCACCAGGGGCGTGAAAAGGAGGAGTCCAGGTTTGGAAAACATTAAGCATCTTCTGTGCCGGGGCTCCCACCACTGGGGCTCCTAGTTTTGCAACGTTGCAAGGAGGTTTGAGACTGATCAGACCCCTGGCCACTTGCCAGTACTCGGGGCCTTGCTGACTCTGTCACTGCCTGTACAAGGCCACGTGACCTGTGGTGGACTGGGTTTTGCACTTACATGGACCCCTCATCTGCCAGCAGCTTGGCTGAGACAACATAGGCCCTGGCCCCTCAGCCCTCAGGAACTGAGAGACCTGCCTCCAACCACCACCTCTTTCCTCGTGGAAGGTGGGACTGCCCTGTGCAGACGGGGCACAACCCGTTCCCACATTAGTGTGGAATCAGCTCACCAGGCCCGCAGGGCTCCCTGGGAGCCATCGCAGCCAGACTCCGCCCCGCACACAAGATTCGGCCACAAGATGTCCCTGGGACACTGTTGATACCGTGTGACTTATTCGAGGCAGCTCAGACCCGACCTGCGGTCGGCTGTCTGCAGCCTTCTGTGTGCCTTAACTTTTTTCTGTGCTTTAAAGAACCAGGGCCAGCAACCAGGCCCCAGCCCTTGCCTCCCTGCCAACAGCCCCCTGCTTATGGTCTTACTAGTATGATGCTGGTGGCCATGAGCCACACCTCACCTTGGAAATTTGAGAAAGTGTATTTCTGGATCAAGCAACACTTTTGCTGATGTGAAGCACACTGTCCCTCTGTCTGGGACCCTCACCTCTATGGCTGTCGGGTCCAGCCCTTTCTGTAAATACAATGATGATGCCAAAGATGGAGAGTCACCCCGATTCTTGGAGCTGAGGATGCTGATATAAGCGAGAGGCAGAGGCCCCACTTCCCAAGCTGCTGAGGCTACACGAGCTGGCACTGTGGGCAGCTCAGGAGCAAGGCAGGGGGCAGGCACTGCAGGGCCTTAGCAGTGTGAGCCTGGCCTCAAGCAGACCAGTGGGAGGGTGTGCAAAGAAAAGTGACAAGGCACACTTATCTCCAACTCCTGCTTTAGACCCACGTGGACACACACATGGGCAGGAGGGAGACTGGCGAGATGTAGTGACTGCCTAGCAGTCTCAGTGCCCAAGTTACACTTGCTGTTGGGCATCCACATGATCAAGTCTGCTGCTGCTATGGCCTTCCGACCAGTCACCAGGACAAGTCCCTCTCCCCTAGCTGCCGTGCTTGGATGTCCCTGGAAACAACACAGAGCTGTGCTGGAGGCTGTGGAGGTCCATGTGAGAGACTCCTGCAGGTGCGTGTCTGGCTGCGTGGCAGAACTAGCAAGGGTTTGCGTTCTAAACTAACCATCTAGCAACCAAAAGCCCGTGTTGTCCCCAGGCATACTAGCAAACAAGTGTCTGGTGGGGAGTTAAAGCAGATGATTTGTACTGAGAGCTGCTTCTAAGGATCTGATACTTACAAACATCAGTCCTGGTAGAAGCTACAAGAACGGCGCTGAGCAGACTACAGCCACTGCTGGAAGTGGCTCCCTCACACGCAGCCCTCTGTGGGTGTGTGGCCATGCCGCGGCTGGATGAAAGCAACTCCGGAACAAATCTGCACACTTACGGTCGTCTCCAGACACTCAACGGCCAGGTGCAGACCTCCTTCACCTGCCACTGTCGCAAGTATGTCAGGACTAGCACACAACACGACCCTAACAGACATCACCAAGTGTGCATGTGGCACCTCTGTGGCAAGCACCCACAATGCATGAGGAGGTTCTATCTCCACAGCCTAAAACAAAGCCATGCCTCACTGATACTTCACCGATTAGAAAATTCCTCTGGACACATCCTGGATGTCATGGCGACCTGGCTACAGGACACTCAAGAGGAATCAGTGTGGACCCTCCCAGAGGTTCTAGAAGACACTTAGCACCTCTCTCCAGTGGAGCCAGGACGACCATGAGCTTGGAGGTGGGCCCACACTAAAGCTGCTTGGGGCTTTCCCCAATGCACAGGCATTCTGGGGAACAGCTTTAGGCCCCTTTGGGGAAGGTTGGAAGGAAGATGGACAGTAGAAATTGTTGGCAGGGTCCTCCCTCAAAAGGACCAGCCTCCTCTCCCTTTGAGGGGCTCTGGATGTTTGATTGAGAGGCTGTGACTGTGTTTTGGTATCTAAGTCAGACTTCTGTGCACTAGATCTAAAATACTTCTGCGTATGCAAATCAAATCAGACTTGAGTAGGCTGCCCAATTTCATTTATATGGACCCCATGATCAACCAGCCCATGCCATAGGTCTCTATGCGTCAACTATTCCGATTACTGCTTTGACTCTGCTGTCCATTACAGTAACCACACCCACCTTGTCTTTGGTGATTAAGTGCCACCACTTAGCCCCTGCTACCTGGGGATCCCATTCTCCCCACTGCATTTAGGGGTCCCAGTTCAGTGGCAGCAGTTCCCTCTGTCCTTCCTGACCTATGGAGAAGAGTTACCACAGCGTTTTACAGGGATGCTGCGGCTCCCCTCACAGATTCCTCATAGCCGTGGTGAAAGGTGTCCTCTGTATCCTCCCATGGTGAGCGAGCAGGTCTGACATGATAAATCCATGCTAACATTCCATTCTCCCTCAGGCTTTGGACACGTTCTTCTATAGTGTACCATGGTGGTTCTGGCATTTCATCCTCACTTACTGTAGGTCACCTTCAGGTCCATGCTTCAGCCAAAGAACCAACCAAACTATTAAAGCCCTTTCTCACCTCTCAAGCTACAACACTGAGTCCAGAATCTGCTTAGTTGACTCATTTCAATAAATTTGGCCTGATCCAACTATGTTCCTGCCATCTTGATCCCACCCCCTGCAGACCCATTCCCAAGCATGTTCCTGGAAAATCATGCAGTTCTTTTAGAGGGTAGCACACCTCCTCGCAGGTCATACAGTGTGCCTCCTCTTTGAGGCCCACCAGGACTTGAGTCTGGTTACAGGTTTAGAGGCAGGGAAGGGTGGTGGGGATGGGTCTGAAGGAGAATCAGCAGTGCCTAGCAAGGCACTTCTCTCAGGTGGGGGGCCAGGCTCTCTAGGCAAAGGGTGAACTTCTTAGGCAGGGCCGAGGGCTGCTTCTACTGGCAAGGGAGAATGGCAGAATTTAGGGGTTGAAGTCCCCAGCTTCATCGGGATTTGTCCATAGGCCTCCATCCAATTTTCAGGGTCCCATTGCTTTCCGATCAAGGTCTCACCTTTAAGAGAAGACACCCTGTGAAGCTGGCAACTCAACTGTGCTGTAATCTGGCCACTGGCAGGATGAGACCTGGGTGGGCACTACCTGTTTTGGTTAATTCCTAGCTTTTGTCATGCTGCCACCCCACAGTGCTGCTGTGTGGCGTGGACGCCCTCTTGTGATTCATGTCCTTCGTCATGCCTAATGCTTCATGCTTGCTACGCAGAACTCACTGTGGAGATGGCCCCTTGCCAGCCTTTTACTTTCACTCAGTGATGGTTGGTATTATGTCAGTTTGGCTAGGCTATAGTTCCCTGTTGTTTGACCAAACACTAATCTAGCTGCTGTTATGGAGTAGTTACATGTCATCAAATCAGTTGGCCTTAAGTAAAGCAGATTACTTCATGTCATGTAATTTAGTCTGAGGGCCTTGGGAGCAAAAAAGGAGTTTCCCTGAGATTTGTTCTGCCTCCAGACTATAAACAGATATTTTGACAAAACTCTTAATACACACATGGGGGAAGACAAGCACCATTGAGGATCGTCTACAAGCCATAGACTCAAGGAACACCCAATGCTACTGACAAGGAAGAAACAGATATTGTTGAGATCCTGATTTAGACTTTTAGCTTCCAGAACTACGAGAAAATAAATTTTTATTCTTTGAAGTTGCCCACTTGGCTTTGTGGTATTTGTGTTACAACAGTACTAGGTAACTAAGAATTTGGTACCAGGAACGGGGTGCTGCTCTAAGAAATACCTATAATGTAGAGGTGGCTTTGCAACTGTGTAATGAGTAGAAGCTGGAGTTTTGACATGCTACATGGTGGGAGTCTAGACTGCCCTGAAGAAACCACTGGTAGAATTCACTGAGACACACTCTCAGGGGCTAGCCATGTCCTTTCACTGGCATGCGTTTGGCCTAGTCCTGAGTACCATGAGCTCCTTCTGCCCAGAAGTCACCCCTGCCCTTCCCTGTCAGCACTCTTTCTGCCTGGCTCTTTCTAGGGAGTTGAGGTCTTTCCTTTTACTGAGCATGGCCTCCGTCCTGTGTCCTAGGCTTCTGGCTGTCTCTGGAGCAAGGAGCCACGTGACCATTGTGGCAACTGCATTCAGGGTCTGCAGCCTCTTGAGGCACAGTCCTGGGGACCCACACTCATCTCACCCACTCAACAGCAGAAATGAGAATAGGTGCCAGCTGGCCCCGTCTACAATGGGGCTCTGAGGACACTCTTGGCTTTGACCAAGTAGGGGAACTACGAAGGGTCTCGTCGCAGAATTCCTACTTTAAGCCTGCAGGTATGCAAGTGAAAATTTATTGTAAAATACACTTAGGTTGCCAATGCTGCCAGACACAAGCAAACGTCTCTTCCCTAGGCTACAAATGCCCAGGTGTCTGGCTCAGTTATTCTTTTTTAAACCACCAGAGTCACTTTTGAATGGACAACAGATGTCACAAAAGGAAAGTGAACCTCATGAAGAAGGTGAGGATTCCACGGACTGAGCTCTTTTTCATAACTGGAGACTAGCCTATGGCTTGCTGGTCCTTAAGGGTCCTTGAGGTCTGGTTTTCCACATGACCAAATCAACGCCAAAGTGCAGATGCGCCCCCTACACCCTCAGCGCATTTTGAGCAAGAAGCGTAGGCAACTCATGTTCGCTGGTAGAGCGACCAGATGCTGATGCGCCGGTCCCCAGATCCCGCGGCCAGCAAGCCATCATCAGCGAAGGCCACACAGTGGACAGTTGCAGTATGGAAGTCCAGCACAGCCAGTGGCTTCATTGTCCTCCAGTGGAATATGCGAACGCGGTGGTCCCAGCCTGCAGTGGCCAGGAGCTTGCGATCTGGCCGGATCATGACATCAGCTATGCCAGGATTGGTGAGTTCGTGAGTTCTGCACACCTGCAAGATTGAAAGCAGCAGGAGAACCATTAGGTGACATAAACTTTGAGCCTGTCACACATGTGCTCACCCACGAATGGTCCCGAGATCTAGCTGCCAGGGCAAAGAAAGAGATGCAGGCCTGCCGTGACGGCTGCACACTCCTGCAGAGCTTACCTCCTACCTCCTCAGAGCCAAGGCGCAGACCTGCCTTGGAAAGCGGCCTGAACTTTGTTCTTGTCTGAACCCTTGGGGTATGAGGGAAGAATTCAGGCACTTTTCCATGGAGCACCTCTACCGCCCTGCCATGAGGGCCTGCTGGGAAGGGGCTCATTCTGACTAATTTCCTACCCCATTAAGAGAGTGGCCCTAGGGGCCTCACAGGAAAAAAGGAATTCCCAGCTCTTGGGAAGGAAAGACTTTGGTAAGGTTGGGTACTGGTGCCCCTCCCCATGGGAATGAATACACTGTATCCTAGAATTTAGGTGAGAGCAGCCATTGGCAGCTTGACCACAGCATACAGTCAGCACTTCTCCCTTCTGGAAAAGTCTCAGCAACCACCCAAAAGCACAGGAGTGCAAACTCCATCTTCAAGACAGTTAAGAGACACATGAAACCCTGAAATACAAAAGGGACTGAAGGGCTGCCAAGAGTGGGAATCAAGCAGGGTGTGGGCGGAATGAGTGAGCGACAACACCAGAAGGTGTGGTTGCAAAAGGAGCTGCAAAGTTCACTTCACCTGGTTGAGGGGTAAAACCGTCATCCCTTAAGCAGGAACTTCCCTGGGCCTGATCTGGTTCTGAGAAGGGGATAAAGCCCTGGTCCAGCAGTCTGTGAGCTGGCCTGTCTGGTGGCTAAAAGTTCATACACTCAGTCCTGGGTGATGAGGAAGCTTCTTGCCCTGACCCTCCCTAACACATGCCCCCTGCAGCAACAAGGGATCCGCAATCGTTGCCTCTGTGGCTAAGGCAATTCTTGGTTTTTCAGACTGTCTGATGCATGGCAGGGCATTTAACATCTCTGTCCCCAGGCACTAAATGACGGAGGCACTTTGCAATCACTGTGACAACCAAAGTGCCCACAGACTTCTAAATGCCTCCTAATTGGACCATACCACCCCCATTTGAGAATCATTCACCTCTACAAGTTAATACAAGGAAAAAGGAGGAGGAAGGAAAGGAAAAAAGAGGAGGAAAGACAGGAAAAACGAACAGCAGCACTCATCAGAAGCAAATGGAAATTGTCACCAAACATTTTTGCCATGAATTTACAAAATAAAAGAAAGCATAATGAAGCAATTACCTTTATAAAACAGGAGTCCAAAGCAGCAAAACACAGGAGAGAGAATCTGAACTGGTGGCACTCAGGAAAGAAGTGAAAGAAAAACTCAAAAGAAATGAAGTGAACTGGAAATAAATACAGTGAGGCACATACAGGATAGGAATGATAAAAAGTGAGCAAAACGAAATGGAAACAAAGCGTTAAAGTGGACTGAAGAGAAAATGACAGACATGAAAGACAGGCAGAGGTGCTATAATATTCACTGGTATAGAAAACCAATTTTAATGTCTAGAAATTGAAGTCTTATGATCTAAATCCAAAGAAAGGCTATAGAATGTTCAACACTAAGATGTCACCTAGTAAAATTATTGGACTTAGTAGCCAGGCAAAAAGATTAAGTCAATTATGAGGGTGAACTTTAGGCCGTCCTTAGAATGTTCCACAGTCACATCTTTGCCAGCAGACAGTGGCGCGATGCCTACAAAGACTGAGAAGAAAGGAAATATGGTCCAAAGATTTTATATCCAGCCAAACTTTCACTTAAGTATAAAAACAATAGACAAACATTTTTGAACATGTAAGAACTCAAAGAATATTGCTCCCATAAGCTATTCTTAGAGGACTAGAAGATTAACTCCTGTCTTGTAAGAGATAACTGGAGAACTACGGCAAATGGTCTGGCAAAGAACACAGAATCTACTTACTTGCAGGATTAGGTCTAAAACAATATGGGGATTATGGATATAGAACCAGTTATGTAACTAACAGAAATATGAGAGAGGAGCAAGAGAGACATTAGATGTTTTTTAAATTCATGGATTTTCTCATCTTCTGTAATTTGAGGCCAAAGGATGTAATAGTTAGTTTCATTCTTCTTGAGGGATTATCTGACTTCCTACCATGAGTAATGACAAAAACAGCATACTTTCTTCTTCTTCTTCCACCTGACACTTAGGTGCTTTAGCTCTTTAGTATTTGCCCTTGTATTTCTGCAAAAAGTAATGAAAATATAAATATACTCAACATTTTTATGACTGGATTCCAAAGTTAAATGCAAATTTGTGCTATGTATAAGACACACTGGGAGCCTGGGTGGTGCAAGTGGTTTGTGATTGGCTAACCTAAAAGTTAGTTCAAACCCACCCAGCAGCTCTGCAGAAGAAAGCCCTGGCAAACTGCTTCCATAAAAATTACAGCCAAGAAAATCCTATTGAGCAGTTCTACTCTGTAACACACGGGGTCACCATAAGTTGGGGCTGACTTGACAGCAGCTAACAACAACAACACAGGAGACAAAACAAAAGAATGACTGGCAAAGATATGTCAGGAGAATGCAAACAAAGAAATGGGGGTCCAATATTAGTAATAGAAAAGATTAAATTCAGAGTCAGCCATAAGCATTGAGTAAGACATATAAAATACTTCACAATGATAAACGGTACAATTCACAAACAGTTATGAATATCTGTTCAGTAAACAGATTTATCACTCATAAAGCAAGAACAACAGGAAGATAAAGTAACTGGTACAGAGTAACCGGTATCATACTAGCCCTGTTGCTGTAAACAACTGTAAAACCGAACAGAATAGATGAGGCAACTGTTTATAGACACTGGACAACAGGCAGAGCAGGGCAGCTGACAAGGTGAGTCTCCCAAAAGCCCCAGCCACTCTCTGCCCAGGGACAATTTTCCAATCACAAAGTTCTAGCAGAGCACAGCAGTCACGTTAAGCTGAGGAGGCACAAATCAGAGTCTGGGGCAGCTAAAGCAGCTGAAATCTGTAGGACAAGGTAGCAGAATGGAGGGAGCTATGGATAGGAAGTTAATACTGTGTGTGGGTTCCCTATGAGTCCTTGTGCCAGGGCTGGGCTGTGCATGCTCATGGCAAACAAAACGAGGCTTATGAGAGGGTGGCTGTTGCAGGGTTGAAAGCAACAGATATGAGAAGTGAACAATGTTGGAGGTCCAGCCAGCCTGACTGCAAACAGTGTGACAATCTAAGCTGAGCTGAGGTGCCTGAAAGGCCTCACTTGAAGAATAAGGATCATGTGCTAGAGTATAGACTACTTTAGATCCAATGTAGCAAACCATAAAACCAAGCCTAAGATGTTCAAGGTGAACAGCCAGTAACTAAACTGCCTGCTAGAACAAAAGTAAAGTCTTTACAGAAAAACACCAGAATCCAGAGTCTCTATCATGTATCATTTACAATGTCTAGCACATAAACAAAAAATCATTAGACATGCAAAGAGGCAGATATATATGACACATAGTCAAGGCGTGGGGGGGAGCAGTTAATAGAAACTAACGCCAAAGTGGCACAGATGTTATACATATCAGAAAAAGACTTTGAAGCAGCTATTTAAATAGGTTTGAAAAATTAAAGAAAAATAGATTCAAATAATTACAAAAAATATGGTCTTATTGAGTGAAAAGATGGAGGCTATCAACACAGAAATGGAAGTTATTAAAAAAAAAAAACCATAATGGAAAATACAGAACTGAAAAGCATGATAACTAAAATAAAAAATTTACAGGATAGGCTTAATGAAGATTGGAAATTGGAAGTATACATATATCAATATATACTCAACCTGTGGAAGAAAGAGAGAAAAATGAACAAAGCCTCAAGGACCTATGGGACAATATTGAACTGTCTAATTTACGGAGTCCCAGGAGAAGAAAGTGAGAAAGGTTAAGAAAAAATATTTGAAGAAACAATGGCCTGAGATATTCCAATTTTGATGAAAACAAAACAAAACAAAAAACCCCCACCAATTTAGAGATTGAAGAAGCTTAGCAAAACCCCAGCAAATTAAAAAAAAACAAACAAACAAACAAAAAAAACACCTAGGCACGTGATAGTCAAGCTACTGAAAACCACAGATTAAAAGAAAATGTTGAAAGCAGCCGGAGGAAAAAGACACATTATATGTATGGAAATAATGATAAGGGTATTGATGAGTTCTCATTAGAAACAATGGAAGCCAGGAAGACAATGGAACAACATCCTTAAGGTGCACGAGGAAAAACAAAACAAAACTGTCATCCCTAAATCCTCTAGCCAGAAGTCCTCAAAAAGGGTGAAAAGAAAACATTTTTCAAATAAACGAAAGCTGAGACAATGTTTTGCCAGCAGACTTGTACTATGAGAACTGTTAAAGGATATTCTTCAGGCTAAAGGGAAGCAGTACCAGATAGAAACACAGATTTACAAGAAAAGCACTGGAAATGGTAAATATACTACATATTTTTAAATTTTATTTTGTTGTTAATGTTGAGAATATACACAGTAGAACATATACCAATTCAACAGTTTCTACATGTATAATACAGTGACATTGATTACATTCTTCAAGTTGTGCAACCATTCTCATCCTCCTTTTCTAAGTTGTTCCTCCTCCATTAATGTAACTCACTGCCCCGCTAAGGTTCCTATCTAATATTTAGTTGCTACTGTCAACTTGGATTCCACATAGATAGTTCTTACAAGAGCATCATGCTCAAGGCAGATTTTTTTTTTTTTTACTAGTGAAGCTTAACTATTGTTTGTTTTTAAGATGACTTCAGGGGACATTTTTGGTTAAAGATTATCTCACAGCAATAGTTTCAGGTGTTCATCTATTCTCCATGGTTCCAGAAAGTCTGGAGGCCATCAGCATTTGAAATTCTGTTCTACATTTTCCCCCTTTTGATCAGGATTCCTCTATAGTACCTTTGATCAAAATGTTCAGTAAT